CACACACACACACACACACACTGGACATGCTGTTCTCAGCCTGCATCCTTCACATTTGTATGCTGGTTTGTCCTGTCAGGTGGTTATACTCTTGGTTTTGTACTACATGACTGGATGTGTTTGTTACCCATATGAATACCAAACTCCATCTATTTTGGTCTCCTGTTCCTCATCCTTTGGCTTTGATGATAGATACCCTCAATCAGCATTAGACAGACCTCTTCATTTATGCCTATCACCCCACCCATCTTCTTCCCAGGATTTTTCTACCATCCAAACTACTCTGTATCGAGTCCTTCTAGTGGTTCTGATCTGGCCAGCTCAACTTTGATTCCCTCTACTTCTCCCTCTTCAGTTGTCACCACTGTTACCTCATCCTCTTTAACCTTCTCGTCTTCATCAACCTTATTCAGCAGTGCTTCATCTGTCCATTCCACATGGTTTTTGCACAGTCCCTTGTGCAAGGTTCTGGATTTTCCCCCTGGGTAGCATCCCTTCTTTCCTACTCTGTCTACTCCTCTTCTTTGTCCTTGTACCAACATAAATGACATATTTGTTACCATTGGTCTATTCTTCAAGGATTTGCCTCTTCCTCTCATTCTGTCCCTCACCTTTCTAAATATTTTACCTGACATTTTGATAATGGTGTTTCTGTTGCTGGTTATAGAGCCTCATTATTGTCTATCTTTTGTTTTTCCCGATTTTGTCAGGTTTTTTCTTTTCCTGTTATTTCTCTCTTGTTTCATTTTTTTGTCTCTATCATCTTCCTCGACCTATTCCTTGCCAGGTTGGGATCATAATGTTGTCCTCCATGCCATTTCTCTACCTCTGTTTGAACCTTTGGCTTCCTGTTCCATACATCACCTACTCTTGAAAATGTTTTTCTTCCTTTTGTTAACTTGTGGATGTCGAAGGTCAGATGTGTTTGCCATTGTTGTCTCTTGCATTCTTTACTACTGAACCTATGTTCTCCTTCCTACCAAAAATATTGCTGCACATGAGGGTAATGTTGCATTCACTCTCATTTCCCTTTCTTCCATTTAACATGTATATTCACATTCTGATCCTGATCTTCTCCTGTGTCTGGTCAGGGCTCTGAGGTGTTCAGTGGTTTGCACAACTCCATTGTGCTCTTCTCATTCACTTTTGTTTATACATTGGAATCATTCAGTTTCCTGTGACTTTTTTCCTATTCTCCTGACTGGTTGGGTTTGGCAACTCCTCCGTATAGACCATTCCTCCTTGTCTCCTGACTCCCATCATCTTTTCCATGTCTCTGCTTATTAGTTTCATCACCTCACAATGTCTTTGGCTGCTTGTCTTCATAGTCATTTGGAAGAGATTATCCAGGCTGGCAGGTGGGCCATCCCTCACACTTTCGTGTCACATTAACTGCATCATCTGGCAGGTTCTTTCTCAGCCAGATATCATCTACTTCCTGTCACCACCCTTCACTTATCAGTTCATCTTTGAGTAGGTAAGTGTCATTTTTCTTCTTTATTTCATAATAACAGGGCCTTCTTTCATTTCGTTTTTGGATCCAGCTCTGAGGTGAGTGGTGCTTGTCCAGGTATACTAATTCTTAAATCTGCACCGTGTGAACGTTCCAGTGCTAACACTTACTGTTGAAATGGGGTGTTTCACAAGACTGCTTGTAGGTTCATCTATGCAGTGTTTTGCTTTATAAGTATGTTCATCCTGGACTATACACTCAGGGACTAACATGAGAAAAGCAGAAGGGGATTTCTGCCCATCCCTACTGCTCTTTGGATTGACTGTATCAGGAATGGTCTGCTTTTCAGTTACCTGTTGCATTGCTCCAGTATTGCATTCCTTTGGAATCTCCAACACATTTTTTTCCCACACGCATTCTTCCAGTGGAGTATAGGAGTCCTTACCACTTACAAGCTCCTAGCCACTGGGATGGTGGATCATGGAGGCTTTCTCCTGTGTTCAATTCCACTTAGTTGAGATTAGGGAGGTGGTGTGAATATCCTCTTACCATGGATCTGATGTACAATTCCAGATGTCGTACAGTATGGACTGGATTTTTCCATCACATTTCTAAATATAGTTCACCCCTCCGACTGGGAACGCACCTTCCTACTGTCGTCAGTTCCCAAGTGACTGGTGTTGGTTGGACCCAGACCAGTCAACATAAGTCCTCACATGCGAGTGGGCTGGGACCCTCCTTCTATTCTAGACTGGATGATACATTCTCAATGCAGCATGTTTTTGGACTTGAGTTGATCTTTCACCTACCTGCCATCAGATGTCAGTTCCTGGGGAAATGGAAGTAATTCTTCCATTCTGGTTCCTGGGTCTGAGGTGAATGGTAGAGGACCCTTGTCCTACTGTGGGCCGATCGATCAATCTCAGTACCACTGGTTTTGGACTGGAGTTGACCTCCCACTTATGGTTCAATGCTTCCTAGCCATTCTACTCAAGTGGCACTTTTTGGATTTTCCTACACATTCATTTATCTCAGGCAAAGAGTACACCAGGTTCAGATGCCCCCCAGATGTGTGTTTCCTCTCCATTGAGATGTCACTCTTCTTGAGTGCTCTTCAGATGATTTCTCGGGGTGTCTCATCTAGGTTACTTCTACACTGGCCCCCTCCACAGGGTCAGTGTGGGATTCTAGCTGTTTTGTGAGAGAAGGTAAGTTATCATATCAGAAGTCAGTATTTTCCTAAACTGAAAATATATTTCCAGTTGATACTTACTTCCTCTCACACTTCCCACCCATCGTCCCCACTTCCAGTGTTTTTTCATGCCTGATCTTGAAGTGAAGATTGGATTCTACTGCATAGAGGGAGTTGGATGTGCTAGGAGGATGTGTCGCACTCCTATTGGCGGAGGGTTCTTGCATACTTATTTGCATGCTAAACTGCAGCTATACCACGTGGAGATAAGTGGGAGCATAAAGGCTAGTGGTGGGCAAACGTTGGCACATATAGGGGGCAGTACAAATTGAGGAAAAGCTGTTTGTTAGAGGAGATAAGTATCTATCAGAAATATATTTTCAGTTAAGGAACATATTAGCTTTCCTCTGCTTTGTGTAGATGCTTGTAATTTACATACAAAGATAGGGCAACATTTGATTTTACTTTTGAGTCAAAGGTGAAATTATAGTATACTGACTGTAATGACAAACAATGAAGGAATATTGTTACAAATTTGAGTAATGCGTACAAACACAAGATAAGATATATACATGCCTAAAGCATTTGATGTGTTTTAAGTCAAATGGTGAGTGACAGTGTACTTTATTATGAAATCAGTGTTATATTTATACTTGTTCACCTCTTGCTGATTGTACCCTTTTCACTTCTTTTTGGATCTTCTCACTGTATTTAGCACAAAGCTTGCACAAAGTATTTGTTACAATGTCTCTTCCTGGGGTGTCCTTTGAAGAAGAATATATATAATTTGTCCACTGAGATTCCATTTGCCATTTTATGTGGCTTAGGAGCAACAGTGCAATGGTGCCCAACAAACTTGAAGGCCTGAATCAGGTGTTTTGTAATAAATAGCTGATTAATTTTTCTAGCTTATTTTCACATGCACACCACTCACTTCAGATAGCAGTACTTTGAATTTTTAATAAGTTACTCATTGTATCCAGTGCTTTAACAAGCAAATGGTTAAAAACCTGCCTTTTTACACTTTGCTACAGTCTAATGTAATTTGCTCAGAATTAAACTCATCATTTATACTCAGTGCACTTGCTTGTATTACAATTTTTTTTAACCGTATACAATTAGAATAGTGTCACCTGTTAGCATTTGAGTAGAAAAATGTTTATTGCTTTGTAGTACTTGTTTTTTGAAGTGTTAATCTACTTTTGAGTAAAGATGTGATGCTCATATTTTTCACATTTTCATTATAGTTTCAATAGGACCAGTGTTTGAGTAGATTGCCATGTGAAACTTTTAAAAAAAATATTTCATTCTGTTCACCATTTTGTTTCATATTTTGTGTTTTTTTGTTTATACATATAATTTTCATTTCATACTTAATTTTATGAGTGAATAGAAGTGATGTAATTAGTTTTGTCACAAGAAAAGATGTGTTAGCATTAACAATGAGTGCTCTAGGTACTTTTGTGGTTGTTCCATATAATTAATATAGTCACTTCTGGTATAAAGTATTATAGTATACTGTACAGTGAGGGTGAGTCAGTTTGTATGGCATTGTATAATTGTTATAATTACGTACATATTATAAACTTAAGAATTTAATGTAAAATATTAACCTATAGTGTATGTTCATGTCAGTAATGTATGAATGTGTATGTTTGTGTGGCTATATACTATTTCAAATATTAAAAAATATTTTTCCAAATAATCAATAAAACTTTACTCATTACAGAAGTATCAGTTCAGTCACAGTCATTGGAAATACAGGAAAACTGGAAGCCTTCATTTTTATCAAATGAAGAATTCACACACTTAACACTTGAAGTAAGTCATGTTTATGGTTTTTAAATTTTCTTAGGAAGTAGAGGATCTTATATGTACTTCTCTTTTGTTTTTCAACTTTTAACAAAATTTGGTAGGAATACTTCTTAAGATGTGAACAGCCTAGAAAAACAGTTCTTCTATTTTGGTTATGTACCTTCATCTTCTAATATAAGTATAAAATATTGAAATTGACATTTTGTACTTATTAGTGTATTTGTTACTCTAACTTCAATACATTTCTAACAAATCTGATAGGAATGTTTTATAGTTTTTTAAATACTTTTTATTGGGTGTGACATAGTTATCCTCTTACAAATAACTAAATGTCAATTACATACAGGATCCTTTCATTTTTGTATGCAATTTTAGGTTAATAGAACCTAAAAGATGAATAGGTTCTTGTTTTACTTGCCATTTTTTGAGAACTGTGAAGGAATATTTCATCATTCACACACATTTGCAAGAAAATTCAAAGGTACGATAGTGGCTCATTTATTTTTATAAAAAACATAACTATTACTTTACATATTTTCTATGTATGTTGTGTTTTCACAATTACTTAATTCAGTAAAATCTTTTGCTGAAAATTCAAAATTATTGTGCATGTACAGTATTGGAAATAATTATGGAAAAGTTGAAAAAAATACTGTGGGAATGCCATCCCTTTTCCATCTGAAAATCAACTGTCATAGTACTGTGATTAGTTGTTATACAACCAATAATGGCTTCCATTACTGAAATACCACATGACAAGTGTATAAAAATGAAAGTTTTGGCTGGTCCAGAATAGTTTATATGAAAAATTGTGGCCAGATCCTGTTTTTTCAATAGGAGCTGTATGCATAGATCTTGCCAACATCCTTACTGTCATTATAGATGTGAATGTTACCTCAAAAACAGTAAGATACATATTATTATGAAGTGGTCTCAATGGGCATGAAGGTGCTCAAAAACTGCTACTAAAAGGATGTAATCAAATCAGAAGATTGAAATGGGCATTGGATCAGAAACAATGGAATGAACAAAGCTGGAGAGGTGTGTTCTTTACAAATGATTCTAAATTAGAATTGTTTGGCATCAATCAATGTACAGCATCTACAGTTAAGCATGGTTAGGTATAACTACAAACATGGGGCTGCATATCAGCCAACTGTGCTGTTGATACCATAACTAGTGACAAATACAAGCAGATTCTGAACCATCATGCTGTTTCCTCAGAAACATTACTGCTTGGTTAAAAACTTGTCTTTGAGCAAGACAGTACGGTAAATTGATATTTTGACAGAAAAGAAGCTGATGGAACACTCGCAACTATAGCTTTGAGTGCACAAAGTCCCAGTATGAAAATTCCTAAGGCTATATAGGATATTGTAAAAACTCAGAAGGTAAAAAGTATGATCAGACAATTTGGTTAAATTATGGGGAGCAATAAAAGACATTTAGAATAATATTACAAAATTGTACTTTAATAAACTGTATGGCAACATGAAAAAAAAATGTTCTGTAAGTCTGCTGTATAGCAAAAATCTCGTATGCAAAAATTTGTTATACTGTACAACTTATTTGTTTTTCTTTTGTAGATACTGTGATAATATTTTGTACCAATAATAAATTCATTATCTATTTGTCATTACTCATTGTTTGTCATTCCTTTACCGCTTGTGTACTTCCAAACTTATTTACATTACTGTATTTTATCAGTTAGCATATTTTTACATAATAGCCCATTTGCTGAAAAATAACATTTAGAATTTAAGAAATGTATTTGTTAAATGGGATTTTTTGCAATACATGAGGATGGTGATGTAACTAATTAAAATTAATTTTACTTGTTTCTTTTAGGCTCTGGATGGTTTTATTCTGGTTTTTTCATCATGTGGTAGAATTCTCTATGCCTCAGAAAGTATAACTACTTTGTTAGGATACCTGCCAGTAAGTACTTCATAAGCATTACAGTATGTAAAAGGAATAACTTCATTTTTTACTAGTACCATGCACACTTTTCTATACATCGCTCTAAGAGTCTCATTTTTAATTTAAAAGTCTCATATATATGTGTATATAAACACACACACACACACACACACACACACACACACACACACACATGTATATATGTTTGTTTTCACTTAAGAACAATAAGTTCAGCTAATTTGCATTAATTTGTCATAGAAAATACAGTGTAATTCAAGCTTACTTCAACAGGTGATGTTAATAATGGCTGGAGACGGCTTGAATGGGTAATGAAGAAAAACTTTAATAAGTTTAACATAACAGCAAATGTACAACGTTTCGACAAGGTTTTGTCATCATCAGGTACCCATAAAATAACGAACATTAACTGTACAGAATTGTACATCTGAGAAACTGGAAGAACCAGATTCACCAAACACAATAAAAAAAAACATCCCATGTTTACCACCATTGCAACTCAAAAACCCACAGTATATCTGTAATTTTAAACAAAGAACTAAACATCAATGAACGCAGAATAAAGGAAGCTATCTTAATTGAACAAAACAGCTCTACCCTAAACCAACTTTATATTAAAGTTTTTCTTCATTACCCATTCAAGCCGTCTCCAGCTATTATTAGTCTCAAAGTGGGTTCCTCGTCACCGAATTTGAAGGTGATGTTAAATGATATGAGCCAGCTGACACTCCTTTAAAACTAATATTTATTTTAGTTTGTTTTAAACATAAATAAAGCCCACTAAACAATTAATAAGTTTTATGCACATAGATAGTAATTAAAGTTTTTCTCTCTAACTATGCATACTGGCTTGGTCAATTTAACCAACCTCTTAAAACAACCATGTTACCATGAAACTGTACATACTATAACTCTGAATGTACTATGTTCATTTTTAATAAAGTATTTTTACTAAATATTTTCCTGGAAATTTACATAGCTTTTACAGAGTCAGTCTGGGTAAAGGGTGATTTTCATGCTAACAGTAAAAATACTTATTTTCATCTGCTGATGTTCTGATTGGTTTCACATTCATGTAGACAGTTGTAGAACATGTGCTCTTTTTCCATGATAATGACAATGATGATGAAAAAAAAAAAACCACCAAAGTAATTATTAAATATTAGCCACTCATGTTCTCCTGACAGTTTTAGTCAGGATCAGATTTTTAGTTTTCAGTCTTCTTAAACTGTAATTCTTACATATGTAGTTTCTATTACCATATGACTATTATGTTCATCTGACACCTTAGCATGTCATTTTTTTTTAAAAGGTACTTTTCAGATGACCAAGAAAAAGCTTCTTCCCTGCATTGTTATATTTGCAGAATTTTCATACACACTAATCTGTTTTCAGAATAAGCATGCGAGCAGAAACTGAATGGGGTAGTTATTCCTTTTTAGGTGGCCAGCAGGTAATGATTGTCCTCCTCCCTTATGCACTTCTCAGTAAACTTTAGCTACTTGTACTTGTTCTTTTGTACCCTACAAAGTGACCAGACATAAACAAGAAGGGTCTTTTTTTACATACTTAATGACTTTCTTCTGTTTTGGATGAATCGCCCATCAGGTCTGTTTTGAGGGGAAGATGACTTGGATCATTGGTTCCTCTGTGGGATTCTTTGGTTTGACAAATCCTTCAGTCTGATCTTAATGTCTTTCCTCTTTTTTCTAATCCAGTGCACATTCTGGAAGTCTTGGGTTACCTCCAGAAAGGAAAAGTTGTAATTTTTATCCCACTTCTCCAGGTTTTAACTCTCATCTCTTTGTGGCTCCAAAGAAATTGGGAGATTGGAGACCTATCTCATCTAATCTTTTTGTAGATTTCCCTCATTTTCAAATAAAAATATGAGTTTGTATAAGAACACTATTCTCCACCAGTTTCAAAGCACCCTCTATCTAGGTACTGTATATAAGCACCTCATTCAGATAATGTTATCACTTTTTCTTGACAAATCATATGGCATGGGTTTCTATAAACAGGAGTGTTGTTATTATTCACAATTTACATTGTGACTTTGAACGTGATTGGTTTTACTATGGTTATATCTTCATTTATATTTACAAAAAAAACTTACCAAAGGGTATGAATTCCTGAGTTAACGTTTCTAATACAGAGGCCTACCAGACCTCTTCTATTCCACCTCTGCTATCTAATGTTTGTCAACAGCCAGGAGAGGGGTCATTATCAGTTGAGGGTGTCTCTCCGGAGGGTTCTGAGGCAGCTTTTGCAAATGGCTCGGGACCATTTAGAGAAAATTTAGACTTGGTTTTTGTTTTTTGTTTTGGCTCCTTCTACTAGGTCAGCCTCAACAGAGGATCATTTTGATCAGTCACCTCCAGCTCCTTTTCTTCATTTGGCTACTCGGGTGTGACTCTACTCCTTCTGTGTTGGCAGAAAGGATGGCAAGTGTTTACTTGGTTTCTTCTCCTTCTCCTGATATTGCTGCTCATGCTGGAAGATTTGCTGCTCAGTTTCGCAATGGGATAGCTATGCCTTGTCTCCAAGTTTATCAGAAAAACATACTTTTACTTATCACTGCCAGGAGGAGGTATATTTAGATTTTCAATGGATGGACCTGTGGGGATTTAAATTGGAATCTGTGATCACTTTAAACAGTTCACAATTTTCTTGGATTCTTACTCTTATGACTTTCCTGGGGTATTTATCTTCGATCTAAATTTTGTCTGAAACCTATCGATATTCCCTTCAGCAATTTGAGGATGAGTTGAGGATTTTGCTGATGTCTTCCTTAGTCAGATTGTCTTCTTCAGTTCCTATCTTGGTTTTCTGGCTGATTTGTTGTTTTTGGGTACAGACACTTTGTTATAAAGTGTTCATTTTCTGTCTTCTGTCCTCAGGGAGCTATTGGAAGCTTCTTTTTCTCTGTCCAATGTTGTTTGCTGTAGTTCCTGAGATGTTAAAAACAGAAATTTTACAGCCCGTTGACATTCTTCTGTATCGTCGTTGACTTCTCGCCCATCTGACACTAACTGGGAGTATCAGCTTGTAGTGTTTCCCGACCCCTCCTTTGGTTCCCAGGTCTATTGGTTCCCATAATAGGGTCCGTCCATATTCTTGAGGATCTTTGGCTCCGGCGAACCAACAACAACACCATCTTATGGCCTAGGAACGAAGTTCCACTAGCCATGGATCTGCTGGAGGTGACATAAATTGAATGACTAAACCTGAAGCCAGAAGAAGTACCCATGGATCCCTGGTGAAAAAACTCCAGATGTCCAGAAAGTGAAGTAATAGTGCTTCCACTGCTCCCCTCCCCATAGTTGTTAGTCAAAAAAACAGTAGAGAATGTTGGCATCCAGTCATTAATCTGTCTTGACTCAACCAATTTTTAGATCCTCCTCGCTTTACAATGGAATCTTTTCTCAAACCTAAGATGTCCAAGTTTGATGTTACAGACACTTAATCTAATCTGAATCTTCCTCGAGGTTTCTCAGATTTTGTGCACAAGGATCAGGTGCTGCAGTTCAGGGCTTTACCTTTTGGTTTTAAATCTGAACCTTATGCTTTCTGCAGAGTTGTTTGAGTCTTTTCTCGTCACCTGCATTCCTTGGGCCTGTGCACACATCATTATATGGATGACTAGCTCCTTCTGGCACCATCCTGTGAATTAGCAGAACAACACTCTCAGATTCTCCTTTCAGAAGCCACAAAAGCAGGCTTCCTTATCAGACTAGAGAAATATATTCTGTAACCGATGCAATATTTCGTCCATCTGGGTGTCTATTTCAATACTCAAGTCACGCTCAACTGACCCTATCGTGCTTCAAGCCATGGAAAGAGCTGTCAGGTTTTTACTTGTGTCTCCTTCTCTACTCCTCTCTCTTTTGGTTACGTGAGCATTCCTTGAGTCTCTTTTTCCTTTGGGACGACTTCATACGAGTCCCTTCAGTGGTCACTGCGCAACCAATGAATCATGCATTCCAATCCTTTGGATCATCCTGTCTAATGACTCATGAGCAATATCATTGATTGCGAATGGTGGTTGGATCAGAACAACACTACTTTCGAGTACACATTCCACCACCTCATTCCAAGATCCATCTGTTCACAGATGCATCTCTTCAGGGATGGGGAGCTTATCTTCTAGGTCAGGAGTTGCAGGGTATTTGGATGGAAGACCAGTCTACCCTCTATATCATCATTCTAAAACTCTTTGCAGTACACCAGGCAATGGTTCAAGATCTGTCTCTCTTTAAGGGAAAATGGACATGATTCTTTCTATCAATTCCACGGTGGTATAGCAGATATTATGTCAAGGAGGCACACATTCTCGAGACCTTTGTTTTCATACCTTGGATCTTCTCTACTGGACTCATTCCCTTCGTACCAGTCTTTTACTTTGTCATGTTCCAGGAGTGATGAATTTACTTGCAGATCACTTGTCTCAACCCAACCGGATTTTTCTGACAGAATGGATGCTACATCACAAGGTTTTTCAGTGGATTTGCTCTTAGTTATGTCTTTGTGACACATTGGGATTCTCAACTGCAGTTGTTTGGTCTCTGATACCTCGTCCTCAAGCATTGGCAGTAGGTGCATTCAGTCAGGACTGGCAGGTTTAATACTGTATGCCTTTCCCCCAATTCGGCTATTGCCCCGGGGTTATGACTATGGTTCGTTCCACTCCCTCTCAAGTTCTCTTGGTTGCACTATATTGGTCAGCTCAAACGTGGTTTCTGCTTCTCTGGTATATGCAGGAATGTTCACCTCTACTTCTTCCACTTTGGCAGTTTCTGTGGAGACAACCTCGATCAGACATTCTCCACCCAGATGTTTGCTTCGTCTACAGTGGCCTTATATAAGGCATCCTTATCCACTATTTTTCAGTATTCCAAATATTGAAAGGTTCTTGAATCCCCAGTACTATCAAGTCTACTCAAATCCTTTTGTATTCTTCAGCCCAAATGACCTTTTCAATTACCGAATTGGGATTTCACAGTTGTTTTACATGTATTGTCTCATCCTCCCTTTGAGCCTTTAGCTTTGTATTATTTGTTTCACCCTTCTCTTAAATTGTAATTTTTGTTGTTGTTGGCTTGTGGACGTCGTCGGTCGGAGTTCTTGGCAATCCATGTGCATTGGACTCATTATCATTCCACATTTGTTCTGAGTTACCCCTATAGGTCTTTTCTTCCCAAGACTCTGACAACCAGGGAAGAGAAAAGATTCTTCTCACCAATCCATTTCTCAATTTTATGACCACTTCGATTCTTATTGTTTGTTATGTCCTGTCAGGCCCCTCAAGTGTTATTTGGCTCGTACTAACTCATTTTGATGTTCTTGGAATCAGTTGTTCATTTCCCATAACTTATCTCTTATTACCCTAACAAGGTGGCTTCGCAAATTGATTCACATGACCTATAATGGATTATCATTACAGGAGAGGAATCTTTTGCATGTGACATTTCACCAGATACATCATTTCTCTGTGTCATTAGCTGCCCTGTGCAAAATGCATCACTCTATGGCTACCTAGCCACCAATGTGGGATATAGGTACCATTACCCCTTAATTCCAACCCCAAGTTGTGCAACCTTAGCTATCTGGTTGTGGCTGGCCTATACTGACGATTACTCTTATTCTATTCCACTTATGCTATAGGAACTGAATTTCAGGTGAAGAGCATACCTGTTCTGCATGTAATGTGGTTCCTCCACTCTTGTATCATCTTTATCTTGGTACACTCCTGTTATATACAGATGCTTTCTGTATGGTTCATGCCTGAATTGGCCCCTCCACCTTCTCAATGTGGGATTCTGTCTATAGTGTCAGTGGAAGTAAGTATGATTTGGAAGTTAAATTTTCCTAAACTGAAAATGTATTTCCAATAATACTTGCCTCCACTGACACTTCCCACCCTACCTCCCCACTAAAAGCCAGTATATGTCTTGAAAAAGTGATTACATTATCTGAATGAGGTGCTTATATACAGTACCTAGATAGAGGGTGCATTGAAGTTGGTGGAGAATTTTGCAAATTAGAAGTTGCCAAGGGCATTCGAGTGGGATATAAAAGACTGGAGCAAGTGTTTTCAATGCTTAGATTGGCAAAGAGTGGAAATCCTGGAGATCGAGAAATAGCTATAGTGTCAGCAAGGTAAGTATTATTGAAAATATATTTTCAGTTTAGGAAAATGTTAACTTCAGTCCTTTACCTCATTTTATTTGACCACTAGCTTTCTACATCTCCCAGATGGATCATAACTCCATTTCCCACTGAGTACCAACATAACATTTGGTACATCTGGGGTTTTAGATCAACACAGTTCAAGGAACACTTAGTATCTCCTATAGAATAGCAAGCCTTGGAGTCTCCCATGCACCTAACTGCTTTATGGACGATAGCTTGACTTCATGTTGTTATTCCTGGGAATTTGATAACAGATGACACCTCCAATGCTTTCATTAGGGTATTATGTCAGACCTGTTGTTATGTAACATGCCTATTTCTTCCATTACTCTCATGTTTCTCCAGTTTTGTTTGAACCCAAGAATGCATGTCAATAGAATACCTTCTTACTGATCCAGGTTAAGTAGTTAGCACACAGGATCACCTACAAAGTTTTAATATTTTCAAAACAAGACCCAAAACTCGAGCGCTTTCGAATAGTTGACTATTCGAAAGTACTCAAGTTTTGGGTCTCGTTTTGAAAATATTCTTCCTGATCCTTTAGACCTTCAACTTTTCAGATATCTCCCCTTTCAGTTGAGGTGTTGTCTACAGGAAGAGGGGTCGTTATCATCTTTTACCATTGTTTTATTTTTTATCAGTTCACTTCCCTTCGGCCTAATATATTCACTTAATATATTCTCTGTTGTGTCTCTAGTTGTGGTAATCTTCTCCCTTCAATTAACATTGAATTGTACTTTTTCATGGATGATAGGTTTATTTTACTCATTTGTCCATTCAGGAGGTTTTACTTGTACCCAGTTCCCATCTAAAAGGAGCACAATAATGTATGTCAATAGAATATTTTTTTCTTCCTCATCCTTTAGAGCTTCAACTTTTCACAGATATCCCCCCCCCCCCCTCCTGTCTGCAGGAATTAATATTTTTCAGGGTTTGGACTCTTCAGAAGGTAACAACTCATGTCAACAAGTTAATATCTTTAAGCCATTTAGCATGCTTGTTTTGAACTATGTACCTTTTTGTGTTAGTTCACACAGTTTTAACTTGCATAAACATTTAGTAAAGCACTTGTTTTGCTGCATTTTATCTGTTTCTTTGACTTTATTCTCAACATGTTAACTTCAAGCCTGTCATGTTCCCTGATCATTTTGGCAGATTCATTTTTTGGAGATTGTTAGCTTCTCCCCACGAACTGGACTCTCCACCTTTTGGTTTTTCAGTGGCTATACCATTGTTTCTCATAATAAGTCAACTTCCTCATGGGGTGCATGAACAAAGGAGACAAAAAATGTTGATGGTTAGTATCCAGAGTTTGTGCATTACACATATTTTATATTGTCTAACCTCAACTTCTCAGCTACGTTTTTTCATGTTTTTATTTTCTGATTGTGACTTATCAGCTTATTCTGTAGCTGGTAACAGGGTTGCATTATCTGATACCTTCAGATGCCATAGAAGCCATCAATATCTTTTGTCCCCTTTGTTCAAATACCTATTCCAAACATTTTGTCTTTGACTCCAAGTTCCAAGAAATTGTCCTTATGAGGCATGGGCTTAGTACTCTTACTCAAGCAGAAGGTGTACCTTGTTTTCTCAGGAGGTTTTTACTTGCACCCATTTTCTATCCAAAAGGAGTCCAAGTTTGGGACTTATCTTAATTAGTAAAAGCACAAAAAGTTCATATTCTAACCATTTTATACCAGTTGGAAAAATAGGTGTTATATTTACTTGGTTAGATTGAGTAAATGAATCCTCATTTTGTATATCTGGAAATAAGCTGTATGTAAAAGGGCATTAGTAGAAATCAATTATATGTTATACATGCAGCATGCGTAAATATGGGGTTACAGATTTTCATCAAAACAGTTTTTGGAATATATATCCTAAAATATACATCATATAACTATCAGTATGTAGTCTGTGCTTATGTGCACATAGATTTTAACAGTGAATTTCAGTTTATCTACTTCGTTGTTTTCTAAGCTATGGCTTCTATACTCACTTACAGGGAAGTCTTTCATCATCGATATTTGATTTGGTCCATGAAAGTGATAAACCACCATTATATAAATTGTTAAATAGTGCTCCATCTGCAACAGACCAGAATGATAACACAAAACGTAAGTTTACTTTTGTTTTTATTACAATCTAGTACTCCTAAATAGTATTCTACCACCATGTCTCATTGTGGACATGCATGAAACAAACAAGTTCACTGTAAATTTTATGTTTCCTAATCAAGAACTGTAAGCAAACAATAGTTATTCAAGAATTAATAAGAATACTTTGAAGCATTGTACTTGTAACTCTTAGTTAATTGAAACTCATAATAATATATTTACATTTCTTTCATGAGATGTATATTTGTTAAATATTTTAATGGCAATGGATTGATTTCAAGCAAATTTTATTTTATTGTTGCATACATATTGGTTTTTTTAAAAATAGAGTAGTCTCAATAATTTATATGCCAAAATGTGTGATATTTTTCATAAAACAGTAGATCTTATTCATTTTTTTAATACCTAAATATTTAAAAACTATTATTTCTTTATTAAGAATTCATAATACTTTTGCTTATTTTTGTTATCATCACAGTTTCACAATATTGTAAGAAATTGAAATATTGTAAGAAATTGATACAAGAGCCACTAAGTGATGTGGAAATTTACTATAAAACTCCATTGAAATTTTAAACTTATGACCTTATCCAATTGCTAATAATGTTTTAGTTACATACACTAGCTTTAATTAAGTGTTCAATGTAATTTTTAAGTCTTGTTTTTTGTTCCATCAATAATTTGTTTCGTGAGATTTAGCCCCACATTTAAGTAAAAGTTTGTATGTGACTGCTTGGTAATCTTTTGACACTCAGTATTCTAATGGTTGTGATATACATAATGATTACTGCTTTGTGGATTTCAGAAACATTGACCATAGACTAATAGTATATATATTCATGTTCAAATGTTAGTAAAGTCTGTGGAATGTGATTAAACAGATTTAAATTCCTGACCCTCTTCTTACAATTCAGTTGAAGTATAGTGACTTGAAAGCATGTATGGCACTTAAATTGATCCCTACTGAGAGGAGTTAATTCCAATATGATATCTCTCACATAATAGCTTTTCTTGACTTGTACTGCCCTCTATATGCACAAATATTTACTTTCACAAGCCTTGATACTCTCACCTACCCTCACGTGTTTTTTACCTGAGGCAGTTCTATAACAGCATGCGACAATCCTCCACCAATAGGAGTGTGACACAACTCCTAGCACAGCTGACTTCGTCTATGCAGCTTAGCTCAACTTCACTTCTCAATTGACACTTGTGGTGTTAAGGCATGTTTTTTACTCACGCTTCATGGAATTTTCAATCAATTACTTATTGTTGGGTTTTTTTATGTTTGCTACACTTCAGTTCAACAAATTTCATTTGTACTCATTAACCCTACGAATACAGGTTGAGTGGGATCCACAAGGCTTCATACACAAAATATCAGGTTTTTAATTTAAGTATTAATATATTTTTTATTATAGATTTGCTCATGAAGTTTTTTCTTTCAGAGTGTTGACTATCCAATGTGATTTTAATCTCTTTGTCCTTCTTGATATTCATAAAACTTATTTGAATGAAACTTTATATTTAATCTGTTATTTTATCAATATTATCTGTATATGTTGTTGGTTGATTTGGCCAACCATATAACTATCATAAAAAATTAAGAAATAAATCTAAATTACTTTATTTTTTGTTCTAGAATAACTGCAAATTTTAACAGGAAACCACAAATGTTTATTCTAAATAGCCTAAATCTCATAACAGTATACATCTATTTATATTTATTAATTTTTGTTTTATTGACCTTTGAGCCAAATCTAAATATGAAATACCCCGACAAAAGCTGGAAATCACGCAGTACACATGCAGTTAATGTTACCGTATTGAATAGCATAATACACAAGCTGCTGGTGTGTATACCCCCATGAAGATTTTTATTATTATTCTTTCATTATGTTACCTAATAAGTTTCTATTTTATGCATTTTAGTTATTTTTATAATAAGAAATAGTGAAAATAAATGAAAAATAAAAAGCCTTGTAACTAAACATCAAACATTTTTAATTTCATTTTCAGTAAAGCTTTATATTTTGTTATTTTCTTTACTGTAACATCATATTTGATTCTCCAGGTTGTAGGAAAGTAATCAAAGTATAATGAAAATATAGGTTGCAAATGGAAAATAAAATGTACCGTATTGTTAGTATTGATCACAAAATTTCAAAGTACTTATGGTCAGATTTTACACTTCTCACCTTTTCACTTATTTTATTGTTAATTATTTTATTGCTAGCAGATGGCTTAGAAACTAGAAGAAACAAAATGAATACTACTGCCTGTCCTTTTCAGTATGGGCAACTAAGTTCCAAAGTAAATCTCCTGAGAGTTTCTTCTAATATATTTACACCAATTTCCTATGTTTATTCTAATGTTATTGGCTGAAGTAGAAACCTGCCAAATATAAAGCAATGAATCACGATTCCTGTTTAGGTGTTCTTGTACTTTGAGTACTTTGACACTGTCAGTATCAAATATGCTTTTGCGGTGCAATTCCCAGAACTTTCCCTGTTTTAAAAACACAGTGAGGTAGGATTTATCAACTTGTTGACATTATAATGGTTACAATGAGAATTGCCCTAAAGTATTATAAAATTCTTATGCTATGGCTTTGTTAAAAGTCTTGGCTGATCCAATAAACTATGTAGGTATCTGAATGTTGGTCAATAAGAGGACATTTCCTACAGAACCTATTCGGATCTCAGCTCTGAAAACACAATGGGGTAAAATCTGTCGGCTTGTTTACACAGTACAGTAGTTGTAACAAGAATTGTCTAAAGTACTATATAAAAGTGAGAGAAAATATTTATGCTATATCCCTGTTCAAAGATGTATTCGATCCTTTAAACTTGGGTGGTCAGAATTTAGTGATAATATAGGTGTGAAAGTGCTTATGAACATACTGTTTCCTATTTTACTGCACTTGCATAGTAACTAATAAATACGTAGTTTCCAATATTTTGTAAGGTACAGTGAGGTTTCTGTTGCCATACATTACATATGTTATTACTATTTACAAATAAATATTTAAATTTCAGTTATTTTTCTTGAAACATAGAAGAGTAAATAAACTTTGATCTCGACTACTTAAAATGTTTTGAAGTTCTTTTCTGCATTCATGAGTCACATTTGCGAACCATTGTCGTAAGCCTTGTCCAAATTCACACATGGATGTAGAAAAAATATAATTCTTTTTTTAGACTTTATATATGCATTTTTGAATACCAAAAAATTATAAATGACTCTACCGATATTGTAATTTACCAGGCTTCCTAACTATGCTGTTGTCATGATATAAAACACTGTTTGGTTTAAATATTAGTGATTAATTTATATTTTTGAGTGAATACTGTATTATTTTTAAGTTTTGTTATAATAAGAGTTAAAAGCAGATGATTGTAGAAGGTTTTGATAACTAATTGGT